GCTTTGGTAAGAAAAATGAAAATCGATCCTTCCTATGCAAGAAGGCAGGAACCACCCCAACCAGCCTAAAAGACTCTGAAAATAGACCCTCCCAAAAAGGCACAAGGAAGGAACAGTAGTTCGGGCTCTGAGAAAGCTCCATCTGCAAGGACAGAGGACACTACGTATCCAAGAATCTATCCAAGCATAGACACTTGGATACGTAGAGGAGTGTATTTTCCCACATACAGAAAAGACATCATTTTCTACATGTTCTCTTAGCAGAGAGAACATGTAGAAATTTCTCTCATTTCTCCACTAGTGGAGAAATTTCTCTCATTTCTCCACTAGTTTCACTCTCCCTTCTTCCTTTGAAGAATTTATTTTAGTTCTGCCCAGACAGGAAGAATTGTCCTTGTAACGGACTAAGATCATGAAAGAATCACAATAATTATGTTCCTGGAGGAAAAAGGAGGAGGGTGACAACTTCAGTCCAACAACTGTTGAAGGAAATTGTGGAAGTTGTGTTGGATTGACTTTTGTGATTTTCCGATGTACAACTAGCCTTTTGGAAAAGCAAAAAAAAAAAAAAAAAAACCCAAAAAACACAGGATAGCTAGTGATACGCAATTAAGTTTTAGTTAATGTCATTAATGCTGTGCTCTTCAGGTTACACATTGCTGTCTCTGCTTAATCTGGCTAGTACCAAGTGTGCCATGTGCAAACACACAACAATAAATCCATTTAAATAAACACACATCCAAGAGACTTCTGTCTCATATGATACAATATTACACTGTCAGTTGCTATGATAAAAAGTCTTTTTCCTTATTATATTAACTTTTTCATGTGTGCCTCATTATTTCTTCATGCTGATTACTCAGTGGAAGAGTTGGATTCTATTTAAGGCTATGGAAAAGGTCACAGACAAAAGGGAGCTTGAGTCTCTGTTTGCCATTTTAAAAGAAAACTACCACACTAGTGTTAATATTTGCTTTCATTTACAGCAGGTACACTTTGGTTACCTGAATAGCAAATTATGGTGGGCAGTGTGAATGAAAAAGTACCGAGGAGAAGTTATTGATCTTGGAAGAAGGATGTAGACATGTAGACAATGTAACAATTGAATTTTTTCAATAGAAACTTCTGAAATATTTGAGAGTTTGATGTTATTGTTAAAAGCTATTGAAAGACTTATCAGTTATCCACTGCAGAAAAGAAAAACAACATTTTCTGGTACCTGATATCCAGATAAGTAAAATAAGTAATCAGAATATGCGAGTTAAAAGAAAAAGGTACTATAATAATTGAAACTGAATGCAAAATAAACGATGACTATAAACAAAACATTTATTTCAATAAAAAAATTATATGGACATAGGACAAGAATTACTTTTGAGTGTGATCGGCTGGTTGATTACTTTTGGTGGGGGGACTGAAAACTTTGAAAAGATCTTTGGCTGCAATTTCACAATTGGCCTTAATTCACCAGACAGACAGTCATTGTAAAATGCAAATATTACCACTGTTTTCCAGGATGGTGCCAAACCAGGTTTTCTAAGAGATAATAAAGGTCAGGAATTGAGGTTTGCTGCCTGGACCCATTTATAACATTCACTGTGACTGTTCAAATAAACAATGCATTTTATACTGTGAAAAATGATTTATTGAGAGGCAGTATTTCATAGCTTGTAGAAGTGTTTGTCATTTACATACACAAGCTTGCACACACTGTAGAGAGGGCTCAGGCAGGTCAGGATCTTCCAAATTAGGCAATGACAGACACAAGCGCTACTTACATCACCTGCTCTGCCTTGATGCTCGTCTTAGTTGCCAGAAATGGAACAACACAACCTATCACTTCCAGCATGAGACTATCTATTCCCCCAAAACCATTCATCCTTTTCTAATCTTACTCATATCAGCTGTAAGTGAGAGCCAACGGAGAACTGAAGCACAGGAAGACTAGTTAGTTGACTGAAGCACTACAATATATATATGACCTAAACTAGTTGAATGGTAGATGAGTGGTGAAGTTCTGGATGAGAACCACCATCCATCCCTTCTGCAGAAAGGTTGTCAGCATAATGAAGAATGCACTGAAGGAATATGCAAAAGACCATGCTAAAAATGCATTTGGCTCCAGCTAGCAGCAAAATGGCAGGAAATTGCATCTTTGAAAGGTTGATACAGGATGGCATTTCATCCCACACAGCTTTGATGCCAATATGCCAATGCTGTGTATTTGGCTCCAACCTCTGCATCTGTGAAAGCCATGGCATGAACAGTATTTAAGATAGCATTTGCTTAGTATTTTAAAATAGTATCTAAGTTTTCATAGATGCTATGGTATTAAAATATTACTCATATGGTAATATTAGTTACTGTCCAACTTAAGAATGAAGTTAAACTTAAGTTACTTATATAAAAATGAAATCCTAATGCATGTTAGATTCTGTGTTTAGACATATTGTCTAAACACAGACATGCTGGAAATGACGTGTCACACATCGCAACACATCAGGAACGCTAAGAAAGCTTGTGATGTCTAAAGATTGCAAGCCATGGTCTCCTGATGGGGTTTTATGTAGGTGTTATTTGGTTTTCTTTAAACTACAGTAACTTCTGGGTTGCTTTTTTAAGCTTTTAAATATCTGTAAATGACAGCTTGGTTCAGCTGTTCACTGCAGATTGATTTATTCAGTCCAATTACTTCTTTTCTTATGTTACATGAAAAGGTTATTCACAAGTTCAATTTTACTGGATGACTGATCTAAAAATATACCTGCTTCTCCAGTCTATTTTACAAACAAAAGGAACAGATAAAGAACATAATTCATTTCACAAATGTACTGTCTTTAAGAAAATTGTACAGTTCAGTCCACAGAATCAGTAAATTAAGTTGTACTAAGTTATTAAAAAGCACATAGATGTTTTTGAACTCTGCAGAGATTAAGAACATTGAAAACAGTGAACAAAAGTTTCAGACCAGAACTACCAACCACAGAACAACATGACACAAGGTGGTAGAGGAAAATTAGAGTAGTTCAGATTGTGTCAGAGGCTTCTTCCAGCAACTCATTTGGATAGAAGAGAATAGAGGTTCTCTGTATTACTTACGAGTGCTTCTGATTTCACCTGGAACAGGCAACATTTTCTGTAGCCTGCTCAGGTTGGCTTTGTCCATAGGATTGCACCATTTCCTTGCCCCACAGCTTCCCTCGGAATCACATCATCAAAACACAACCTACCCACTCAGCAGAGTATTCTGGGGAGTAGGACACGGATGAAGAGAAAGCATCCATGCCCAAAGAGAGCAAATAAAGCAGCGATCAACATGTCATCTCGAAGAGGAACTCGGAAGAAAATCAACTTCCTGTACTGCCCATTACTTTCTCCCTTCCTGTCAACATACAATTTTGAATTAACTGCTTTCACAAGGCATCATTTTCACCATACTCACACTCACATAGACAAAACGTGCAGGCCAGAGCCACAGAAAGGAAGAAGGAGCAAACACAAAGGGAGAAACATCTTCATGTATTTATCAGTGTCTTCTCTTTGTTTGCCATTGTAACAATGAAAGAGTTCCCATTGAGCCAGTGTAGGCATCCCTGGGCTGAAATGTTTCAGGATTATCTAGTAGGTCAGGGATAAGAATAACCTATATCCAAGATTCACAGTACAATAACATATACAATTTTGCTTCTTTTAATACCTCACAATACTTTTTGTCATCTCACATTTTTCTTCAGCCTATGAATATTTTCAAAACAAAATTCAGCTTCCTTAGTGAAGTGCTGCTTTTTTTATGGTTTCCATGTCAATTTTCTCCCTTGCACTAAGATCCTACCACAGAGATTACATAGCCATTCATATTTTCAGTAGTGTTGAAGAATTACTGGACAAATCCCAAACCATCTTACTGTCTGGCGGCTGAGCAAAGGAGTTTTCACATGTTTGCAAGACACAAGTTCTTGTCTTGGAGTTACTGACCCTGAGAAAGTTCATATCATGTCACCTTTTCCTGATTACTAATTTCACTCTTCATTTCCAATCATCATGTTCCGTATTGAACTGCTTACACTCAAAAGAGATTAATTCTGCAGCCATGTGTTTAATCTCAGGAATTTCAATGACTTGCACTCATCGTAAACAAATTTGACTCGTTCTTTATGTCACTGGAAAAAAAAAAAACAAAACTCTTAGAATTCTACTCTTTTTCCAAGAGGGAAAAAAAAGAAAAAAAAAACAATAAACATAACACAAAACTTTGGAAAAATACAGTGCCTGCATGTTGCTAGAATGTGATAGTTCAGTCCTCTTCTTGCTGACATTATGCAGATCATCCAGGTAACATCTTGCAAAGGAGTAAAGGTAAAGAAGTACCCTAGAAGCCTAAAATGATATGTGTATGAGCTTCTCCAAGAATGGTACATGAAACAGCACATGGAAAACACAGGAGACAGAGCCCTTACCCTTGAACATCTAGTTGAAGATGAACTACTACTTGAACAAACTACTGCAGTATCAAAGCACTGTCATTCTACCACCCCAGGAAAGAAATAGCATGACAAATATACAAAGAACAATTTAAGCTTGTTTCTTCTGCTAGCTAAAATGGTTGCTTCACTCACATATTTCAAATATTTCAAAAACAAGCAAGGACAGCGGTTTCCCATACACAAATCCTGAAGTTGGACAGAATCCCTGTTTAATATTACAGTTGTATGTTCCAAATCTCAGGAAGCTCAGGCTTACAGGATCACTGCTGTTTGTAAGGTTCAAAACAGAAACTGGGTCTTCCCACCCTCAGCCCTGAGCTTGCCCTGCTAGAACAGTGTGTTCCTAGATAGGTACTGGAAGAGAGGTTT